ATTCTTTAAATGTATTCATTATTTCCTAATTTTTATTAGAATCTAGACTTGACCAGGAGGGAGAGAAGAATGTAGCTAATGTTTACTGGGCACCTATCTCATAACACCTACAACGCTAGGAATTTCACATACAATATCTAGTGTATATAATTCATACAAAATCCCTTTAATAGAGAGCATTATAATCTCTAGCTTTAGAGGTTAAAAAAAGGGGACAGAGCATTGAATGCTCAGAATGCAAAGTAAAGTCTTGGATGAACTGTAAGTAGACCTAAATGGAGGAGCTCCAACAGCTAGAGGGCTAGCTTCTTTGTCTTCCTAGTTCTTCACTGAATTCCCTTTCCTCCAAGACTTCAATTGGTACTGTAGTGACAACAAAAGTGCCTTGAGCTACCAGTAAGTACCACCTGGAAGTCAAAACAGAGCTTTCCCCATGCCTTTGATCACATCACTACTTGTCCCTTTGGATATGGGATATTATATAACGGTTAAGTAATTAAATGACAAGTAACTGAGCATCAGAAATATAATCAGGTGTTTTTTAACTCATAGTGAACTTTAAGCAATAGAAAATGAGTGGACATATACTTGTAGAATTCAATACCACTACTACCATCATTACCATCCCCAAGATCCACTGTTTTTTTTTTTAATGGCTCAGTTTTAAAATATGGTTATTTAAATGTATTCTTTAAATGTATTCATTATTTCCTAATTTTATTAGCATGCTGCCCTTATTCCATGTTACCTTTACCTATGGATAGAACAATCACTTGCTATAAAGTATGATCTTGGAAAAAACCCTGTGCTTATATTTCCCCTGGCCACTTACTTGGCACTCGTAATCTCTGTAAGTAGACAGTCTTTCTCTAAGGAATTGCAGGGTCACAGTAAACTTAAAAAATAAATAGAAAACATCTAGTTAGAGAATTAAATCATATGAGCTATTAACACCTTTGAATTAATTAGTTTATGAAGCCAGGGGCTAAATTGGGCCAATGGGACAGGATTTTGGCAACATTCATCAAAGTAAACTGGGCCCATTCTGAAGTTCAGGGCCCTGATCAGGTGAGCATTCTAAAGAAACTATGCAGCTAAAGAGTAGAGCCTTGGAGGAAACAATCTAAAAATAATTTCTCTAACTCATAAATCAGTATAGGTCTGACCTTACCTTCATTTTAAACACAATGAAATTAAATACATATAGAAAAAAGTGTCTGCCCAAGGACTGAGTCTTCAGGTCTCCATTTCTCCCCCTTTAAATATTGAAATTCGTTATTTTCAAACAAAAGATTTAGTTCTTGTTTCATATTTTTAAAAACTTCATTTTATTCTTCCATTAAGAGCAACTTTTCATGGAAATAAAGTCTTGGTATAACTGAAGATCATTAAATAACTTCTTCACATCTAAAATCCTTCTCATAAATGTCAGGTATAAGTGATTATTTATATTACATCACATACAGAAAATAAACAACAACAAAGACCCTACTCACATTTGAGAATCATTTACTATTCCAAGTCCCCAAGCTCCCGCAAATGGGAAATGCAATAACAAGACTGATCATAATTGGATTAAGAACCATAATTCTTTAATTCATTCATCAAATTGAGGGATTTGGAACAGTTTATTTACAGAGTTGTTTAGACAGTTTCATGTAGTGTTTTTTAAGATAAACCAAAGTGCCTTTCTGAAACCAGTTTCAGATCCCAAATCATTAACATGTGAAAACCAAATGTAGACAATTTACAAATGGGTGTTTTAAAACAATGCTTGGAACAAAACTGGACTTTTATTAACTATCTACAAATCTAAGATCAGAATATAGTTTATTTGAAACAGCCAAGCACTTTGTTCGCCTTTAGAATAAATCTACATTTCTCAGAGTAAAAAACTGTGGCCAGTTCGTGAAGGAATGCGTTGACTTCAGGCCTAGATAATCAAGTTTTCTAGGTTGCTTTCAAAACTCTAATTACAGCATTCTGTACCATAGGAGCTGATCTGATACTGGATCAATCATCCAGGTTATGCCAATCAATCATATCCAACAATTATATCTGCTGGAAATCTAAATAGCGTTCAACATTAGAACTCTAAGTTATTTGAAATTCAGCATACTTTAGATTACTAAAAACAAGTTTTATCCTGCCCTCAATATTACACTTTTTTAATATAATTGGAACGTACCTTCAAAACAATGATTACTTACCACTCAGAGGAACAGAGTTTTTACAAGATAGCATATTCTTTTAAACATTATATCATATTCTTAATTTACTTTATAAGAAAAATTTTTTACAAACATTTAAATTCATTCCTTTAACTCAGAAATGAAAATTTTAAATTCTCCCTACCCCCAACAAGGACAAGATAAATAAATAATAGAAACTGTCATACCAGTGTATAAACTTTACTCTTTCGTTATTTGGAAACCTTTTGTTATTTACTACTATTTACTCCATATGTTCCATAGACAGCATCTCTGCAAGCGTATACTCTTTTTTTTAAAAAACCATGTGTCAGCCTAAACAGGATATGCATTTACATGTATAGAACTAAGTTAACTTGAAATAACCACTGGATCTCAAATGTTTAGTTATTTACCAAGTAAGTTTGAGAGTTTTGAATCCTGTATATAACACACCATTCAACCAAAAGTGCTTAAGCTCAGCAACAAATCTAATCCAGGGTTTCTGTATAAAAGTGGTGCAGAGTTTAAGCTTCCGAGTTTGTGTCAGATTGGTTCAATACTGCCCTTTCAAAAAGGCTACAAAAATAGATTTTTTTTAAACCAAGAAGCAAACAGACAAAAAACCTTGCTAATTCTTTATATATAAGGTTGTTAGAAGACCACTGAAAAGAAAGAAAAAAAAAAATTCCAAGCGAGTACACTACTATATAATTAACACAAATAACTAAATAATTATGCACATCCCTTCCCACCCCCACAATTAAATGTTTTTAAACAACTCATGTGATGAAAGATCTACCTTTTAGGCAAACAAAAGCAATCCCCACCAGTTTAAGGATTTAAGGCTGTATTGCATCAGTTTTAAGTGATGCTTATGATTTTTATCTCGGATAGTTCTGAGGAATAAACAGTTGATGACATAATTTGCAGGAGAACTTTGCACAATGCCTAAGAGAATTTTCAGCATAAGTACTTAGGATTTTAAATCATTGTGGCTGAATTTATCTAGGCGTCAGCCTCAGAGCTATATTTAAATCAGGAAGAAGCACCCCCAGAAACTGTGTTCTATGTATCTGCATTTGAAACCAGATTCCTACCCTATCTGAGCTAACAGCAGTCCACATACAGCTGAATTCCTTTAAAATTAGACAGTTCAAAATTGAGCAGTTCTGTAAGGAGTCGAAGAAATGGTCCTCCTTTTAAATGTTTTAAAAGTCAAACTTAAAAAACATTTCCGTATACTTTAAAACCAGCTGGCCCTTAACCTAATCACTCTCGGCAATCCAGCCCCACTCCTGCAATCCTGATCAAAAACTCTCCTCTTGTTTTTCTGATTGAAACGTCCATTTCCTTCAAATCTCCCATACGCCTACTTCATTGGTCTATTTGTGTGTGTGTGTGTGTGTGTGTGTGTGTGCGTGTAAGGGTACTAGGGTCCATTATTTATGAGCAGCAAGAAAACAAATCACTCTGTCTAGTCCCTTTGCAGATTCCCACACTTATTACCCAAAATCCCACAGATTTCCCTTGGTCTTACCCTTAACTAAAGAACTGTGCTGAGCCTGAAGGCAGTCCCAAGGGAAATCTGCTCATGCCCTTCTTAACAAACCACTTTGGATATCTGGATATCCTGAGGCTCTCAACTGGGTCAGAACAGACCCCTAAACTTTTCTGAAGAAGTGCAGTTGCCTGCCACCAAGAGTGCCCGGATTGGTTGACAATGAGAGTATCGCTCTGCATATCCACAGAATTCCTCATTTTGACCTGCTTTAGTTGAAAAGGGAAGACATTAAAATGAATTCACATTCCTCACACGTTGAATTTAGTTACAGAGGCCAACATATTGGCCAACATCTGCACACAGGTCAATCTATTTATTAATATATCCGCTTTGCAAAGTGTAAGAAAAATGACTATTAAAATATGTAAACAGTTGTTCTACAGTGCTTCGTGTGCACCCGACGCCAACAGATCAATACTCAACAAACTGCTGCTGTCAAATGCAAACATTTCCAAATTCAATTTGATTTCAACTCTTATAACCTCTTTTCCTTGCCTCTTATTTCTGTAACCCCAACGTGCTAGGAAGATTTCCCAAATCCGCGCTTAAAGTGACACAACACGTGAGTGATCTTCACTTTGTACACTTAGGGGAGGAGGGAAGTAGTTGCAATTAAAAGAAAGCTTTCGGTCTCTGAAATCTCTAGAATCCTGAAGGATGAGACTAGTTTCCGAAATTCGGGGGCGGGGGGGGAGAGACGTGGTAGCGAGAGGGATTGTAGAAAGCGAAACAAAAAGACGTTGAGAAGGGGAGTATTAAGGAGCTTCGTCCAACTTTTAGGGTCTGTCCCTTGGCGTTAGCCGAGATGCATGAACTTGCCCAGGATTCTCCCCGCACTCCTACCCTCATCTCGCAGCACCACCTCCACTGCCAAACACAAAAACAATGCCGGCAACAGTACGCAGGCTCCCCAACAAAAAAATAAAGTTGGCCCACTTCCTTGTCTGGGTTCAAGCCCACACTGTCCAGGGGCCTCCTGGACAGCCGCCCCCCAATGATGACAGGGACACTTAAGTCTCGAGACGCCTCCCGCCTCTTCCTTACCCCCAGCCCAGTCCCCCTCCCTCTGTACTTGAGGAAACTCTGGTGCCGGCCCCCTCCCTCCTCCGCCGGATCTCCAGCTGGAGCCGGGAACCAGCGCTGAGTGGCGGGCAAGGCAAGCGGCAGAGGGGAGCTCTGCGCCTTGGAGGTCTGCCCACAACAATATCGGGACGAACAACAAAGTTAAAACGCTGCGATTCACGCACCTTACCCGATCTCGTTAAGGTCTCCTCTGGCGTGGGATGCAAAGTGGCACAGTGGCGGGCTGGGGGCCCCCGGGAGGAGGCTGGAGATGGGTTTTGGTGGTTCGCCTTTTTCACTGTGTGTGGGGTGTGTGTGTGTGTGTGTGTGTCTGTGTGTCTGTGTGTCTGTGGTGTGTGTATGTGCGCGCGCGTGTCCCTCTCTCTCCCCCCGTCTCTCGCTCGCTCGCGCTCCCCGTGTTGCTCTCAAGGACGAGGTGAAATCCCTTTGCTGGTCATGAGGCGGCTTCAGAGACAAACAACACAATGCGAGTGCAAATAACAAAAGGCAAAAAGACAGTGGGAACAATGGGAGAGGCGAGGGCAGCGCACCAGCCGGCGGTCACCGCAGCCCGGCGCCCGCCGGGGGAGGGGGGGGTGCCGCGAGGGCGGAGGCGGGCACCGGGGTGGCGGGGGCAGCGCCGGGGGCTCCTGCTCCCTCCAGGTCGCCCCGGAGCTCCCGCAAACCCACCCTGACCTCCTTCCTGCAGCTCGCCGCCTGACCGCCCTCTCTGTCCATCCGAAGGGAAGGAGCCACAGAGTTTTCTTTCGCGTCTGCTGCAGAGTAACTAGATTGTAAATAACGCGGTGATTACCGACACCGTGCAGGAATGTTTCAAAAAAAAAATCTGCCCTCCACTTAAAGAAGTGATAAAATGAAATGGCAGGAGTAGAGGGAGGCAGAGAGAAGGGATATCTCTAGATCTCGATGGAACTCGAGTCGAACGCATCTATAAATACGCATTCATGTTTAGTCAAGTCCCCTTTGTCAACTTCTTCCCGGCGCCGAAACCTCGCCCGCTGCCCAGAAACCATTACCTGGGCCCCTTCTTGCCCCCCTACCCCTTTTGCAAACAGTAAATGTCGCAGGGAGGGCGCGCGTGGGGGTCTGCGGGTGTCCGCGGAACCTTCTGGGAGGCGAGCCGCCGTTTGCCCAGCGCGAAGGCTGGAGCAGGGAGAGGTTCGGTTTTTAAAGCGGCCACTGCCTCCCTGAGCCCGGCTCTGCGCCCGCAGGTCCCCGCCGCCGGCTGCTGCCGCCAGCACTGTGCACCCACCTACTCCTGTGGGGAAAGAGAAAAGTTTTGAGGCGCTCTCATTTTTGTCTCCGGGGTGGTTGAACTGGTTTTGTTTTGCGTGGGTGAAGCCAAAAAACCAATGCCCAAGACCAGGGAATGATACTGAGAAGTGAATAAGGCTCGGCTCTGGGCTTCGAAGCTCCTTCTTCTGCGACACTTGAGTCCGTGAAGCCGAGAGAGAGACCCTCAGAGTTACAAACACCATCAGAAGAAACTCTGCAGGTAATGCCCTGAGCATAAACTGGGGCTAATTCAAGTGTGTGCTCTGACAGCTCCCGGGCTGCTCCAGCGCTTATCTCTTCTAATCTTACTTTCATTGACTTAAAACAGCTGCCTGTTTGCCAGGGGAAAAAGAAAAAAAACTAATAAATCTCAAACCAGGGTGGGGCGGGGGATGCTTACAGTGATCTTCTAGAACTGGTGTCAAGAAAGAGGCGGGGGAGGGGTAACGAGGGAGGCAGAGGATTTGGAAGAGGGTGATGTGATGGAGGACGGGACTGAGAAACAACAATTTGAGCAACACGTTTCTTTTTCTCGCTGTTCCCTTCACCACGCCTTTTGCGTTATGCTGCTTTGCATGTTCTCTGTCCTCATCTCTGTAATTTTCTTCAGACGCTCATCCATTGACTGCGTCGTGTCCCTGGGCACCTCCAGCATTTCCCAGAGTGCAACAACACCACCAGGAGATCAATGACCACATTCTGTTTATTCTTCACGCGCCTGGAAGAACAGGGCACTGGAGGAGCATGGGAGAGAGGCTTAGGGCTTGCTTGCCTGTCTCAGTGTGTGAGCTCTCTCAGACTTTTTCCGGCTGGTTTCTAAAAGGCAGTTAGTAAGCAAATATAGTTTCTTAATGCACGCAATATATTCACCTAGAAGTGGTACCTCCTTTCTCACCCTTTCCACCCTTTGTGGGCTTGTTTCTGGAGGTGGATTGCTAATACCTGAGATTTTGCACTTGTCTAGGGTGGAAACTTTCTGGGATGTTTGACGATTGATTATTTGGTACCTGTTTTCTAAAAACGGCTAAACACCTTTCCTTGGAACGAAAGTGAGAAATGCAAATCTTAATAACTCCAGACAAAAATTTCAAAGTGTTTAAGCACAGTTACTATTCACTCCCACAAAGAAAAGCTTCCTCTTCCACAAATATTTGATAGCAGAGAGCCCAGTAATTAACAGAACAATCAAATAAGCTCAAGACTTTCATGAGGACTATCATCAGCTTAGAATGTATAAGCAGTGTAATCATTTGCTGCTTGGATATAGCTCTAGATATGGCATTCTAAATGTGTATCCTTAAACAATTTGACTATGTTTTCTTAAGTATTTAATGAGAGAGACCATGGATAATAATAATAAACAGCTGGATCAATGTGGCCTCACCAAGTGTGTGAAAAAATTCTCTGTGTATGTGCAAGAAACACCTTCCCTGTATTTATTCTTCCTCACATTTCATATATCATGCAAGCTTCCAGGTGGAGCCACCTGTATATATGGCTTAATAATCTATCAATAGTTGTACTACACCTTCAATTTAAGTGTTACTTTTCTTAAGAATTCTTGACATACTTTGAATGGTTTGTTCTCATAATACCTATGTAGTTGCTTTTCAAATAAGCTATTACTATGTCAGGCCCAGATCCTTAAATAGTATGTAAGAGACATATCAGGCCTAGCTACCAACAAAATTGCCCCTCACTACTTACTATATGAAAATACAAAACATTTGCAAAGGGATTGCCGTTTATGGTGAATATTCCCTGAGTTTTAATCCCTTTCTCTCTGTATACTCAGTGAAGAAGAAGGGACAGATGAGTCTCCATCTGGGTCTCAGACCAATCAGTCACAAACATGCCTGCTTAGACTGACCCCACCGTGGAGAGCAGAGCCACCTCCTCAGGGTTCAGCTTCTACTGTTTCTTTAGTGTAACAGCTTCTGGGAGGAACACACTATTGGCAGGGGAAGGCTAACTGGGCAGAGGAGAGAAGATGGAAAGTTTCTAGCTGCTTGGTGAGATAGTAATGAAACTTCAATTATGCCAACCTTTTCTCCCCTTGTGCTCCTACAGGCAACAGAACTTTCAGCCACTTATGGTTATTGAAACCACATGCCCTTAGGACTAACCTGTGATCATTATATAGCAACAGCAAAGCTGATCGAAAATTTCCAGTGGGATGTTTGTTTGTGATGGGCTTTAAAATATATATATATGTATATATATATACACACACCCACATTTGAAGTAGGACTGACACATTAAAGATCAGTATTTCCATTTATCAAGCATTTACTATATTCCAGGCTCTTAGCCGAGTGCTTTTTCACATATTTTGTCTCTCATCACCACAAACTTCCAAGAAATGTTACATTCCTGTTCTGCAGATGAGAAAACTGAATCTCAGAAAGGTCAAATTACTTGCCCAAGACCACACAGCTTCTAAGTGGTTATACCTGGACGCGAACCCAAATTCGTCCAGCTTGAAGACTATGCTTTTCCACTTCTCATTTCTGACATGTACGTTTCCTATTAGGGCCAGTTTTCAGTGGAAAATATCATTTCGCTAAATGGGTTGAGTTAAAATACAAAATTCATACGATGGACTCTCCAGACATGAGCTGGTATTTTCACTCACACTGATCACTGGTAACAGTGAAATTTCCAAGAAAATTTAAATTTGCCATATATAAGTAGGTAGCACAAATTGTTAAGTGCTTGACTACTAGCCAAAAGATTGGCAGTTTGAACCCACCCATCGGTGCCTCAGAAGACAGACACACCTGGCGATCTGCTTCATAAAGGTCACAGCCCTGAAAACCCTATGAAGCAGTTCTACTCTGCACACTTGGGGTTGCCATAAATCAACAGCAAGTAATAAGAGAAACTTATATGTACATACATTAAAAAAAAAAAGCCCAAACCCATAGCCATTGAGTTGATTCCGACTCATAGTGACCCTATAGGACAAAGTAGAACTGCCCCATAGGGTTTCCAAGGCTGTAATCTTTACAGAACAGACTGCCATTCTTTCCCCTGCAGAGCGGCTGGTGGGTTCAAACCGCTGACGTTTTGGTTAGTAGCCAAGCGCTTACCCACTGCGCCACCAGGGTTCCTTAACAACATATATATGCTATATATTAGATGCAAAATATTCTCTAGCTTCAAGACTCATGCTCTTAACCACTTTACTATACTGCCTTTCAATATTTATTTTTACATGTATATGTAACATACATTCATATATTCATATATAGATGCATATATTCATATACAGATGCACTGTATACATAGCTCTCAAAATACAGGAAAAAATAAAGGCATACCAACCGAGCTTTGTATCAGTCTATTATCTCCATATTCTAGTTTCCTTTTTAGGGGAACCAGTGGTAAACTGGAAATATTATCAACAAGAAAGGGCTTTACAATTTGTCCAAAGTATTCAAGATTCTCTAAAAATTTGTGAGGCAATCTCAATCCCTCCAACGTATTTGGAGATTTTGAGGGAATGTTAGGAAATATTAGGCGTATACAATATTTGAATCCCGCTGATTTACACAAGGTTCATTTTGAATGTATTCATTTATGTTAAAAATAAGACAAGATGCTTGAGAATCCTAAAGAATACAGACAGAGAGATACTGATAAACATGAAAACCTATGAATTGAGAGGTGGAGGGAAACTTAAGTGATGCAAGAGAGCAAATATGCCATCTTAATGGTTATGACTTAATTCATTTTTATTTTTTTAAAAAATCAGGGTGTTAGCCCTCACCCCATTAACAAGAGGGTACTATAAAATAATGATTTAAGTTTAGTAATTATGAACTCCAGCACTGACGCACTTCAAAGGAACCCTAAATATTTTGTAAGATTCCTAGATACATGAGTGGTCTATTTTTACCTGTTTCATCAAACTAAATATGCATATTAAAAGTGATTTTCTCCAAATCAATTAGCTTTGAAAAAGTATTTTGAAGTTTCCTTTTCTTTCTTTCCTTTTCTTCGTAAACAGGATATAAAGAATTATCTATAGAAGGAAAAAAAAAAT